GCCTTCACATTTGTCCCGAATTTTTCATTGATGACCTTCATAATTCTGGGATTCACATTTAGGTCCTTAATCCATGTTGAGTTGGTTTTTGTATAAGGCGTGAGGTGAAGGTCTTGTTTCAGACTTTTGCATATCATTTTCCAGTTCTGCCAGCACCATCTGTTGAAGAGGCTATCCCCTATCCATGGGATATATTTTGGTGTTTTGTCGAAGATCAATTAGCTGTATGTAGATGCTTTAATTTTGGATTCTCGATTCTATTCCATTGGTTTATGTGCCTTTCATTGTACCAGTACCAAGCTGTTTTGACCACTTGGACTCTTAATCATATAATGTCCTTCTTTGCCTTGTATGCTAGTTATTGCCTTGAAGTCAATTTTACCTGAAATTAATATTGCCACTCCTGCTATTTTTGGATTGCTATTAACTTGATATATTTTTTCCATTCTTTGATTTTTAGTGTACTTTTAATTTTGCATGTAGGGTGTGTCTTTTCTAAACAGCATATTGTTGGGTCCTGTTCTCTTATTCATTCTGCTACTCTGTCTCTTGACTGTTGCATTAAATCCATTTGCATTCAGTGTAATTACCACTATGTATGAATTGTTTACATAACGATAATGACACTGAATGCAAATGGATTTAATGCAATGGAATATGGAAATCATTTGACAATATCTTTGATACCCATGCAACTAAAGTTTTACTAAAGGTAATACAAAAATGGCTGCAACTATGCATTGACAAAGAACTTCCAGACGTTCAAACCGGATTCAGGAGAGGATGTGGAATAAGGGATGTCATTGCTGGTGTCAGATGGATCTTGGCTGAAAGCAGAGAATACCAGAAAGATGTTACCTGTGCTTTACCGACTACGCAAAGGCTGTTGATTGTGTGAATCATGACAAACTATGGACAACATTGCAAAGTATGAGTATTTAGAACACTTAATTGTGCATCAGGAAACTGTACCTAGACCAAGAGGCAGTTGTTTGAACAGAACAAGGGAACACCAAATGGTTTGAAATTAGGAAAGATGTGCACCAGTGTTGTATTCTTTCACCATACTTATTCAAGCTGTATGCTGAGCAAATAATTTGAGAAGCTGGATTATGTGAAGAAAAAGGTGGCATCAGGATTGGAAGAATACTCATAAACAATCTGTGATAATGTAAATGATAAACCTTGCTTGCTGAAAGTGAAGAGGACTTAAAATACTTGCTGATGAAGATCAGAGACCACAACCTTTGGTATGGGTTGCATCTCAATGAAAAGAAAACAGAAATCCTCACAACTGGACCAATAAACAACATTCATATAAATGAGAAAAGACTGAAATTGTCAAAGACTTCATTTTGCATGCTTCAGCCATTAATACACATGGTTGCAGCCGTCAAGAAATCAAACGATGTATTGCATTAGGCAAATCTGCTGCACAAGACCTCTAGTGTTGAAGAGCAAAGATAATCAGTTTGAGGACTAAGGTGCACCTGACCCAAGCAATGGTATTTTCAAAAACCTTATATGCATACGAAAGTTGGACAATGAAGAAGGAATACCTTAGAAGAATTGATACATTTGAGTTATGGTGTTGGAGAAGAATGTTGAAAGTACAATGGACTGCCAAAAGAACAAATAAATCTGTGTTGGAAAAAGGACAACCAGAGTGCTCCTTTGAAGGCAGCATGGCCAAACTTCATCTCTTATATTTCGGACATATTATCAGGGGGACCATCCACTTTAACAAGCAAAATGTCCTTCTGCAGGTACTGGTCCCTCTTGATAATAATGAAAACTTCTTAGACAAATGCTTTGAGGGAATGAATTACTGGGCCTCAGGGCTCAGGACCACACTCTGAGGGGACACCATGGTCAATAGACAAAACATAGTTCACAAAGACCATGTTCTACATCCTTTGTTGTTAACTGTCATTGAGTTGGGTCCAACCTACAGCAACCCTGTATAGGATTTCTGAGGAGCAGCTTGGTGGGTTTGAACCACCAACCTTGTGGTTCAAACTGATCTTGTAGTCCAGCACATTATCCTGCAGTGCCACACCATTAATAATTGGTTTTGATATATGGACAGACACATAGGTCAATGGAATAGAATTTAGAGTTCAGAAATAAGCCCATACATCTACAGCCAATTGATTACAGTCAGGGCTCAAAGTCCATTTCAGTGGGGGAAAGAATTTGTAGTGGTAGTTGTTGTTAAGTGCTGTAGAGTCAATTCCAACCCATAGCGACCCTGTATAGGGTTTCTGAGGAACAACTGGTGAGCTTGAACCACTGATCCTGCAGTTCAAATGACTTTGCAGTCCAGTGCATTAACCCACAGCAGCACACCTGCACTCCTGGGCAAAGAATAGTTTCTTTAAAAAAAAAAAAGTGTTGGGGTAACTGGTTATCCATGCAAAAGCATAAAGTTGAATCTACACCTCACATCAAACTCAGATATTGGCTTCAAATGGAGCAATGACTTGAATATAAGAAAGAGAACCATAAAACTCTCAGAACAAAAACCTTCAAGTAAAGTTGAGAGATTGTGTTTTTGACAATGGATTCTTTGATGACACCAGTAGCACAAACAGCACAAGGAAAAAACTGAATTGGACTACACAAAAATGAAAAGCTTTTGCCTATCAAAGGACTTTTTCAATAAAGTGAAGAGACAACCTACAGAATGGGAGAAAATATTTGGTAACCATATATCTGATAAGGGTTTCATATCCAGAATATGTAAGGAACCTCTACAATTTAACAATAGAAACACAACTCAATTTCAAAATTTATAAAGTAGTTGAATAGACATTTCTTTGAATAAGATACACAAGTGGCCAGTACACAAGAAAGGATGCTGAATATCATTAGCCCTTTTTTGTTGTTGTTAAGTGCCATCGAGTTGGCTCTGACTCATGTTGTTGTTAGGTGCCATTGAATC